ACTTTGATCGGAGATTGCTTTGATTAAAAATGCACACTCATTATATTTAATGTCTTGATTTATATTTATCCTCATGTAATTATGGCATATTCAAATTATATTTCACATGCTAGAAAGTTTTTAGCTTAAAATCGTATTACAATCTCGTGGTGCGACTTATCCGTAAACTCATTTAATTTAAGCTCAGCTTACAAACTTGTTGCTTTACGTTCTTCGGGTAATTAATAATCTGGTTTGTAGACTTTTTGAGGCAATCACTGAAATCGGTGACTCTTAATGACGTAACGTTAGTATCGGCTTAGCTAATAAGTTAATAACTAATGAGCGACACGCGTCATTTAATTTTTATTTATAAAAGATATTTTTTTATTTTATTATAAAAGCTATTTATTCACAATATAATCACGTAATTATCACTATACGCCAGCGATTATGCAAAGATTGCATTGCATCATTGTAAAACTTTGCTGGTTTTGATTTGAAAGTCATCTAGTAGATACCTACTGTAATAACTGGCGTTCATCATGAAAGCTTTTTCGCACAAATGATTACTAAGTGACCGAAATAAACATAAATCTGTTGGTATTAAGTCCGGTAAATACGGAGGATGTGGAACTCTTTCCCAGTTCAGCTCCAATAGTTTCTGTCGGGTACTTTTAGAAATATACGGGCGGGAATTATAATGGAGAAAAAATATTTTGTAATGTTGTGGACGCTTACGATGTAGTTCAAACTTCAAATTATTTTTTCAAATTAATTACAGTACATGTTCACTGTGATTTTGATTGAGATTGTGGTACCCAGTATATTACTCCATGTACACCCCACCACACTGAGAGCACCTTGCGAGGAGCCTGGTTCGTTGCGGCCTAGCCACTGGCGCTTGCATGTATGGTTGATATAACCCACTTTTCGTCTCCAGTGACGAGATAATCTAGCCAGTTAACGTACGACGAAATGATAATAGATGTACACATATCTCTACACGGTAAGCGAGTTGATCCTTGATCAGTGGATAAACGCCAAATTTTTAAGTTTTCTAATGTATGAAAATTATTTTCAATCGTATCATGACAGCAACCAAGGTCTACAGCCAAATCACGTGTGCTGCGTCTAGAATTTTCTTCAATTAACATCTTCAGTTTATTTATATTTGTTTTTATTGGACGCCCAGACCTCGGGTTGATCTATCAAGGAATAGTCTCCACTGCCGAATCATTGGAACCACCGCTTTACGGTTGCCTCGGAGATTGCGTTATGAGCTACCCATTCGTATATGTTACGTGCAGCTTCTGCAGCGGAATAGCCATATTGGTACTCATATAATAAACAATTACAGACATGGGTTATAATATCATTCATTTTTTCGTTGAAGTCAACGCAACGATCTTCGAAGTATTACTGGTATGTGTGATCACCATTCGCTCTGTATATATCCCCCGCCATATACCGATATTCTCAATCCTACTCAGTTTCTAGAAAATTAAAATTAAAATGCTCATTACTTATTAGTTAACCCAAAAAAATTTTCGTGAGGTATTTTTTATACATATATTCTATATTACATCTGACATTATTGTTATTAAAAACGGTTGCCAAAATTTCTCAGAATTATTTGTAGTACGAGTAGATATTAGCGGAAACATAATTATTAGGTAATAGTTATTTAAGATACGAGTGCGGAAAGTAAGGTTTTTCATTGGCACGAATTCGAAAAACCTTTTATGCTCAAGTTTTTTACATTTTTCAACGCTTTTTGCGAGGAAATAAAACAAATATATAGGTTAATAAAACTAAGTATGTATTAAAGGTAAAAATTATTTGTTAAAATTAAACGTGATATTTGAACATGTTTTCGTATCATACATTTTTATTTGAAAATATTCGTTGTAACGTTCGTAATTCTCCTAATAGCTATTTCAATTTATGTATATAAAAAAAGAACTTTATTTATAAAAAAACCTAAATACAAACTATAGTAGTATATATTAATAAGTTTTAACGGCATCTTTGATATTAATTAATTATTAACAAAAAATAACTTACTATTATTTTACGAGCGAACATACGAACAAAGTGAAAGTTTTGTTATTTAATTACTTTACGTAGCTACTGGTTTGACAAGGACTGTGCGGGTTGAGGTAAGCGGGGAGAGTAGCGACACTGACAGCGGCCAGCTGATCCGCGCTCCTGCCACAGGCACGACCAAACATTGATAAGTTACACATGTACTTAACGCTCGCTAATACTTATAATTTTGAATTGTAACGTTCATGTTGGTTCGTCGTCTATTTAAAAAACTTGTTCTCAAAGCTGTCTTCCTTAAGAATTTACTATTCAACGAATTTAAATTGCATAGTGTTTGTGTTTATCCCGTACTGGGTAAGTTGTGCAAATATATAACTGTAAATGGTATTTTGTCTGGTTTTTTTGCTTCCGCATACATTTGAAACTGTTAGACTAGATTTCCTTAAAGATGTAGTATAATGTGAAAAGTTGTGTGTTGGGTTACTTTATAATAATATTTAAATCTAGGAGTTGCAAAAATAATGAATACACTGATATTATAATAGTCATTTTATATTTTTAATGCTGTATTGTTAGAAATTTAGTATTAGTAAAGTAGAATAGTAATTGTGCCATCAGTTAGTTTTGTAACCGTTACTGCTTTCTATTATAACTGCCACTTTATCCCAGTAAAATTATAATGCTTTTCTTTTCATTCCGGGTACTCGTAATTAGTAGCCTAGTAGTCACACCCGGCTTCGCCTGCTTCTTAGTCCTTGGGATAAAACTAGTGGCAGTACCAGATTTATCGGCCTTGATATTAATTAGAATATTAATTGGCTTCTTCAGGAACTTCGTTGGGGTTATATTACCCACTTAATGTTGCTGCCCTTGTGGACAAGGTGATCCCTATTTTACTGAACGCCGGCGCAGAACACTGGACAGAAGTATAATCGTTTTCTGGAACGGGTGGAGAAGCTACGTGTCCAGGGGAGTGCCGTTACGGTGCACTCGCTATCGACCTCGTACCTACCCACGACCCACTTATATTTTATTTTTTCGCTACAACATTGTAAATTCATTTGAAAATTAAATTCTAATATCTTATTTGTCTTCTTTTTATTTATTTTAACATAAATAAAACGTGACATCGTTCTCCTTGAAATACTTTTGCCTCTAAAGTTTGACATATTTTCATCAATATTTTTTAAATTTCTTTGGTGCTCCGCCATAAAAATTTAAAAAAATACTTTTAAACACGTGTGCAGTAAAGGATTTCAGTACATTTTTATTTAACACGTGTTTAAAGACTCACTTTCGTTGTTTACAATGGATTAAAATTGGATGGATTGGCGCTTTATGAGCAACTGCATTGAAAAATCTTTTAGTGTTAATATTATAAGGTTTCGGTGATATAATACTAACATATTAAAGTTAAAACGTAAAAAGTGAATTGAATAGCATTGAACTATTATTTGATTTTAACATACTCACACACATAAACTTATACAGAAATATATTAATATAATACAAACAGACGTTTCATTATAGTGAGTTTTCCTTTTACTTACCTTCATTCTACTTCGTTTATATAATACTTAGGAAGAAAATCACAGTTTCAAAAGCGAGCGTAACATGTAATGGCGACCTTAGAGGGTCTAAATAGCGAACATTTGTCCGGTATAGTGTGAAAGGGGAGGCCTTCCTTAAAGTGGACCCTGATAATAACGAGATTTGAAGTGAACATGGATCTATGCGGACCGTTATTTGTGAATAGATAATGGATTAATTAATTGTCTTCATACCGCACTTATAACCTATTAATGTGCTAATATTAAGAACATGATATTTGAGATTATAAATCTTTATATTAACTAGGTATTATTATTAATCTATTTCTAAGGTCTCATAAAATAATCGTGTTTGATTAATACGTCAAGTCAAAGTCTAAATTACTTACGACGACGAAATTATTGAGGACTTCCGTAGCCTAGTGGTTCGCAGCCCAGTTTCAAGGAGTCGCTTTCTCTGAGGTCCCGGGTTCGATTCCCCATCGGGTCAATGTATATAAAATGGACTATATATATATTTATATACTTGCTTCAATTTTTCTTTAAAACTAAATAATACATTTTTATTTCTAATTAAAAAGAATGTAAATTTGGGGAAAAAAATCATTTAAAAATAATTGAATAATTTTTATGCTTATAAAATGAATATACTCCATTTTTTTTCGGGCGATGATTGAATAAGAATTACTTTACGATTTTGAAGTCTGTTTATTTTTGAAAATAAACATTTTATGATAGGGCTCCTATCATAAAATAGTTGATGTGGTATCAAGTTAATTTTGACGATGTAGTTCTTCCAATTTTTTTAATTAAAACATAACTAGTGATCTGATTTCGTCAATTTTTTTTATGGGACTATTTCAAGACTCTTCCAAACAAAAAAGTGCAATATGATTACAAGAAAACGGCCAAGTTAAAAACAATTTGGAAAAAAAAAACAAAAAAAATATGTTAAAAATAAACCACTACAAATAGATAACTAATACCACACAAACAAAGTTGCGTTAAAGCGTTAAAAAGCTAGTATTTATTTATAAACTAAACGTCAGCTCGAGATAAAATAAAATACTTCAGAAAGCGCTATACTTAACTAGAGTTCACTCGACTTAATTTTCCTGCTTGTCACGTTTTCTTGACACCGAACCAAAGTGTAATTGCATAAATTAACGTAAGAAAATGATCAAAGGGAGTCAAGTTAACTAAGGAAGCAATCCATTAACTGATTCAACGGAATCGTTGAATCAGTGCCGCTTCTCTATAACGTTCAGACGAATTGTCTTCTATAATAATAACAAAAAAGAAATTTTCTAATAATATATAGTATACTAACAATATAAAGTCGATATACTATTAAGTAGTAGTATTATTATGTAATCGAAGTAAAATAATTATAATAAAAATCTTGAAAAATAATGGAAAAAGTTATCGCCTTCTCATTTTTGAATCAGGGCCTGATTTACTAGCTGGAGAATAACCCGTGCGACGTATTTCCTCTTGTACTGTTTTTCTGTATTCATCTTCAGCAGTTTTTGCTAGAGCGTCTTCATCAATACGCTCTTCAACCACTACAGTAATACCATCTTCTTCTGCCTTTCGTTTCAAAAGAATCTCTTTGATGCGTGTCTCCAATATGTGTTCTCTTTTTGTTTCACGATCATACATCGCTGTTAAAAGTCCCTTGTCTCTATCTGCTGGCTGAACCAAGTTATCTGATAGTGACAACACATATATAGAACCATTTGTATCTCCTGTTGCAATTAGTCGACCTTCATCGTGAGGCTTGACTTTTTGTAATGGAACTGTTGTTATTGGCAAAACCATTATTGGTTCGCGATATTTACGTAATATATCCCAATATTGGAAATTACCATTAGAAGTAACAGCCATAAAACTAGAATGTCTTAGAGGTGCCCAAGCGACATCATTTGGCTGGTAACGTTGAGGAAAACCTGTTATAATTGGTGATGTGTGTACATCATCACTCCATAAATTTATAGTCCAGTCTCCACATGTCATAAACATTTTCACAATACATGGACTCCGGTGAAGAGCTTTAACGGGGCCTCTCTGTGCAGAATAAATAGCACTCATTGTTTCATTAGGAGTTTTTCCTTTGCGATTAACATTGACAACAAAACCAGTATCGGTTCCACATAAAAACTTTGTTGGAATTGTTCGTTCAAACTGGAGTACACTTACACCTTCAGAATAGGCAAGACTTGCTGGTTCACCAGGTGGAACACGTATAGTCATCATTAAAGCATCGGTTGGTTGACTAAGATCTCTTATATCCCACCACATAATCATTCCATCTGTAGAAGCACTAAAAAACTCAGTGTTCGCGCGCGACTGCATATATACCACGGATGTGACAGGGTCTCTGTGAGCTAGGTGCATTGGACTTATTGCCATTGGAGTTTTTTTTTCACGAATATCAAACATGCAGACTCTACCATCATTTAGTCCACCTACAACTATAGAAGGACTTACAGGAGAGCAAACCAGCTGCCAGCAAGCTGTTGGAGGGTCAATTTCTAAGAGTGGAGAATGAGGGTTTTCCAAATCCCAAACATAGCCAGTGAAATTATTATTAACTGGTCCTAATATAGGATACTTACGATTACAGTAACCGACAATCAATTTAGGATCATCTTCTGCAGTCCATGAAATAGAAGATACTGGACGCTTAAACGGATCTTTGTATACATTTGTTAATCGTATCATAGATTTTTCTAATGGTTTTTCTCGTTTCATTTGTCCAAAATACATCTCATACATTTCTATAGCATTGTTCTGTTTGACGAAATGGTCAAAATCAGAATATAGACTCAAAACTGCGTCCACATAATCATCATCTCGTTCAACACGGCGTCTATACCGGGAAGTCATTTCTTCATCCCAAAAATTAACATCTTTAGGCCAACCACCTTCGCCGTGGTTTGCTCCACCATCGGTATAGACAACTCTTTTAGTATTAATATAGTGTTGTGACATATTCTTCGAAACTTGAGCGAACTGATGTACTGGGTTTCTGAGACCATATTTTTTCTGTTCACCGACGTTAGGATCAATAGAATCTAGCAGTTGGACGGGTGATTCGCAAAACATTGGTTGCCTTCCGTAATTTTTTCTAATTTTATTGTATGAATAACTTATATCCATTTTGTACTAAAATTAGTCAATAGGTACTTACAATATTTTCTAGTCTCCAATGTTTTACAGTTTTTTCGAATCAATGATAGTTATTAAGATAAATAAAAGGTAATCATTCAATTTCTTCCTTAAGGTTTTAAAACGCAATGCAAAGATATAGCTTTGATTAAATACTCCATAAAATCAAAGGAATAAAATATTTAAATGCAATGTTTAAATCAAAGAGTAAAGTATATATTCGTGACATTCTATTTCTATTAAAATTTACTCTTTGGTTATGAATATGTATAGAGATTGTATATGTAGTCAAGAAGTTAATTTTATATTCAATTTTTAAATTTATATTCATATTTCTTGTATCTAGTTATATAATGGTTTTGTAGGATCTAAATTATCTTTGGATTATAATTTGTGGCATGTATTTGGCATCAAGTTTGGCATGAAATTTTTCTTTGTGCATTGCATTTTACCATAGTTATAAACAAGGTTTAGCATACTTTTATGCCTTTTGGTTTCATTCTGACATCTGGGGACACGGTAGTGACCCGCCCAAGCCGTGCCGACCAAATGAAGCACAAGAACACTAGCTACATTTTCTCGAACCGTTTTGTCGTTTTTTTGTGTTCAGGTTACATAAGATACATAAAATTTTCTGGATATAATAATGAATATAGTTATGAACATGTAAAGTTTCAATTGCATAGCTTATGTACTATTGATTTTATTGAGATCTAAAAACTCCGATTTTGTCTCTTAAATACTTGGGGATCATCAAAACTTTTTAACTTTTGAAATTTTGATGCTTGAGGTTGGAAAATTTATATAGATCCTCTTGTTATAAGTAATAAAATACGTATTTGAGGATTTTTCTTAAATCATTCCGTATTCTTTAAATTAGGGAATGGAAATCTAAATTTGTAGAGGTATTCCTATAAAAACTTAATTTCCTGCTAGTACGGTTCATATGAATAATACATTCTTTTTTTATTACAATTATTATTTTATATTACATAATCCATGTTTCTATCCATACTTTCCAACGAAATGGTTAAGCCACATTCAAAACAAGTGGTGGTTAAACAAGTAGTTTCATTTGTACAAGAAAGTATAATGTGGTCGCCAATTGGGTTTATACCAGGCATACACAGTCACTTTATATTTGAATGATGAACATAAATATCACTATTCGTGATCAAACTCACTTTCATTAATACCAATAGTTGTAGAAATTATAAGCCGGTCCGTTATCTAGCAGACTTCTAGTTCAGACTTCTAAGTATATGATATATGGTCTAACAATATTATATAGTGGCCAGATCGTATAATTGAGGAATAAGGTTGATGACTATGTTAAAAAGTTAAATTGTATTTAGTCTGTCAGTCAGATAAAAGAAAAATATTAGATACGTACTTTTTTGCTTCAATTTAACAAGGAACAGTTTAGATAATAGGCATTAAAGTTAATGGGTGAGAACTCGCTAAGTCACAGTTTTGTACAAAATGTACAAAAGCGTGACGTCATGGGACATTTCAACTCAACGTATCGACGTAATTAATTGATTAAGCAAAAAAAAAATATTCTATAATAAACTGCCTGATGGACAAACAAACAAAGAATAGTCGTCATCTCTATTCATGATGCGGCTGATAGTTTCATAAAGTGGTCAAAAAATTTAATGAAATTGAAAAAAAATTGTGCCCTCATCATGATGTGGTCTGGCCAGATCAATTAATAATCTGCATTTAACGATATATTCTGTGGTTTAATGGATGTATCGCAGGATTATGATTAAGACAGGATTTTGATCTAGATCTGGGGGATGATAAAATTATATTGGAGGATATCACGATAAGTAAACTAAACTTCCAATAATTCTTATTCACTACTGTATGTCACGTGATAGGTAAAAAATTTCGAGTTTTTTTTTTATCAGACCATATAATCACAATTATGTATTACACGTACAAATAAGTTATTTCAGGGATTTTTTTTAGACACCCTACATTAATGATATGGCCTAATGTGGATTACCATATCATTTAACGTTGACCTTTAAACAATATTATCAGTTTAAGGTGGTCGTTTCATGAAAGATTACTATTTCTTGCAGATGCATGAAATGAGGACATCATCCGCATAATGATGTCATTATTTTCTAATAAATCTGGCCACGATATATATTTCAAATTTAGAATGTAAATATTAACATTGACAATTTAAATTAAGTAGTAAAAGATCAAATGAGATTCTAAATCGCGCATAAAATGTTCTGTAACAATATCTATAAAAAACGGGAAAAATCACGTTTGTAGTACATATGTTCTTTAATATGTATTACAAAAGCTTAAATATCTATTTTATTCTGGTTTAAGCATATGTTGTTATAGCAACATCTGTGAAAATATCAACTATTTAATTATGACCCTTTGGGTACGAAACTATAAAAAGAGAGAATCGAAACGTGAATATGATAAAACTGTATAATCATATTTAAATATTTTACATTAATTATTCGCTTAATCTATACGCCATAATTTTCTTTTCTTTACCTACATGGTTTTAGTCACGTTAAGCACACACATCTTTACACACCCCATATTTGCACACCCCGCTTTTATGGTAGAACTCTAATGAAAATATTTCATTATTCGTCTCCCGCTGTTTGCCAAGTCGTTTCCTTGACAAGCTAATTTTCTTTGTTCCTTCGGTGTTCCCTGTAGTTTCGTCTAGTAGGTAAGCTGTTACTTTTTATTTGTTCACTTGATAGCATAGTTTATTTATACTATTCTTACATAGGATTACGAAACGTTTGTATTTCTATCTGACTCAGATCACAGAAAAATAACTAACGTGCATTTGATTTTTCAACACAGCGGAAAAGTAAATCCAATATACACTACTTTAGTAAAAACCTTAGATAAGACAAGTATATAGATAAGACAGATACATTAATACGTTTTTGTTTCCTCCTTTACTTCAATGCTCGATGTTTCGAAGGTTCTTTGAGTTTATAAAATCAACTGATATAGGATAAAATGAGAAATAGGTCAGCTATTTGTTCTAAACAATTGTAGGTATAAGTCCCGTTAATCGCTAATGCGCAGGAATCTTCTCTAATAACACCCCCGTGAAGTCATATGAAAACAAATGTAAAGAGATAAATTATTTATTAATTGACATATTTATAAATCATCCACAACAAAATTGTTAAAATATTTTATTGTTTAATTTTTTAAGAAAGGATCACTTTATATAAATAATTAATTTAATACTGTACATGAAAAATAAAAAAAAAAAATATGAAAAATAACATTTGCTCTGTAATACTAATAAAGCGATAAAAAAGAGAGCGGATATTTATATAAAACATAACCAAAAGTAATAATGAAATGCGAGCCATAAAATGTGTTTAATTGAGTAAGATTTTGGTTATTGATAATTTATAATTCATGATAATAAATATTTTTGTTACTATCAATTTCGTACATGCAGTGTTCTCTTGTAAGTGGAGGGGCAACAGGCATGTATATTTTGTGCATTTCTTTTAATATTATCATGTAACATTGTGCTCACTGTTAGAGAACCAAAATAAATAAATAAAGATTATGATTACTTGTTGTGAAAATTTTAATCAACCATATAACATTCGAAACCAACAAAAACATAATAAAAATGATGAGTGATCTCAACACAACCCAATTCTATAAATGTACTCGTATTAGTGTTAATTTGTTAACGGTACTTATTTTTGAACGCAGTTACGTCATAAAAATGACGGCCAAGCGCATTAGCAATTTGCAGAGATTATTGGTCTTTGTCGTATGCATATAATTTTTGTGCCTTTACGAACAAAAAATGTCTAAAACGGACTATATTTTAACCAAAAAATAACTCCAACCATAGTTTGTATTATAATATCATTTATGACTTATGTTTCATCTGCCTTGACAACATACAGTATGTTTAAATGCTATAATTAACTAAAAATAAATCTATATGATGTTATCAACATTTTTTTAACTTCTGTTTCATAGCTTTTTTGCAACATTATCAGTTATTTCGGTTCGGTTTCCATTACCTGATCCATGAAATTTTCAGTGTTGTTCCACATTACATGAGAAGTTCATGTAAAAGAATAAAAATATAAATGCATATTTTATTGATATTAAATTACCTACAAAATAAATGTTGAATAAAAGTAAATATTTTTATTAAACTGCAAGTTTTGTGTTAAATGGCGCTCTATGGAGTATAATCTAAATCATTCTATATACACTAAGTTCTCTAAATAAATGCAAGGTAACAAGAGAAGAATTAATCGGATTGATTTTAGGTTATCTATACATAGAGGTAAGATTAGATTGTTTGTTTGCATCAAATAGGCTCCGACACTATTTGACTGGTATTAAAAAATCTTTCAACTACACAAATATACATCATACGTCATTAGTTGTCATAGTCTATAACTTACGCGCGCAAATTTGCGATAAATCAGCGAGAAGAGAAGAGATAGAAAGAAAGATTTAAAATTATATATGATTTCTTAATAATATCAAATATATAATGCTTTTGTTAACTTTCCTAATAAATTAAATTCAATCTACGATATCCAAACAATTTCCCGTCTAAACAGATACGTTTTTTAATCTCGAAAGCTGCCATACAATCTTTTAATATCATCTTCTCGGAAACATATTAATGGAATATTAAAAAAATACTATAATGTATATTATACAAAATCACTGCAATTACATTAAGGGAAATCTTTTCCCTTTGGAGAATACGAATCATTGTCAACGTTATTCCCGCGAACTGCGGTGCATATTCATTAGTGATATCTGTCGACCGGCAAAATTTTTTAGGGTTCCGTATTACAAACGAAAGAAAACGTTGTCTTCCAAGATCTAGTGAATTGAAATTTGGTACAGATTATGCAAATTGATGATCCAAATATGGTCTTATAACGTATATAAATGAATTTGAAAAATGACATTCATATAGGATTACTAAAAAAAAATTAAAAAAATTGACAGACTATATCGGATATATATCAAACGGGCTTATTGTAAGGATATCAATTTTGTTTTGAAGAACGATTGTTTTTGAAATGAAAAATAACTCGGTCGAAAGATTGCAGATATTTCTCAATAGCTTTGCAAAAATATTTTCAACTAACGTTTGAATTAGAAAATTCCAATTAATCAAAACAAATCATTAAAAAGAAATCGTGACCGCAATAGTTTTCACATGTCAAATAGTTGAATATCTCTGTAATGTCAAACTGAAAGGGGTTGCAATAGATTTTAAAATTAGACACTTAGGCCTCAGATCCGCACCACTCATATCTCTATGGGTCACAGCGCCGCCCATACCGTCAGAAGTAGAAAGTTTTAGAAATAATACAGGAAAACGTGATACAGAGGAGCGATCACGACCCTCAATACTGAGATACAGGTTTTGGTTTTTGGTGTATAATAAATTAAAGTTTTATGTGAAATGGTGCTCTATGTAGTATAATCTAAATC